CTTGAGAGGGAGCCTTTCCTTACCACACCTGGCCTGCCCTGCTTCATCACGGTGCTGTATTCTCCCCACGGTACACAGCGCTGTTCAAAAGGCAGTTCACAGATGCACTCATTTATCTGACAGCGCTGAAACGGAACTTTCACGGGGCAGGAACTTTTTTTTTTCCATAAGGGATGAAACTTGTTTTTTGTTATTACGTTTTTCATTCTTTTTTTGCTCCTGTATCCACAGAATCTAGCACTCTCAAGTACTGTTGGAATGAATGAATGAGAGGGATTCTAGCATTGTATGGGTATGACAGCAATTATAGTCAGTGCTGGAAGGTAGTAAGACTCAATTCCATATTGAAAAGATAGTTACAACTAAAACTCATCAGTGCATTGCATTGAATCTTATGCATTGGCTACTTTTTACAGAAACCAAGTGTGTCCTTCAGTACTACCATATACATTTTGTCAGAGGACAAACACCTAAGACTAAGTAACTGAAATTATTCATAGCATAAGGCTGCAAATAACTATTCCTGGGTGGGCTTTGCTTATTTGTTTATTTATCTGTTGTCTTGATATTTTCACTTGATACACTGTCATAAATTAATAACTGAATCATAGACCTCAAGATATCATTTATATAATATCTTGCTTTCAGAAGGGAACACAAATAAATATGCTACTATCCAGATATGTTACTTTCTTCTTTATATTTTTCACAGTCTGTAGAAACAAAGTTTCTAGGAACTCCTTTAGTGCAACAGACTCTCAGGTTTGACAACTCCTATCATCAGAATTCTTCCAAGTTTCTAACCAAAATCCTATTTGAAGTGTAGGATTCATTAGGTGGACAGCTTGTGATGGAACAGGCCCATTAAATCTAACTTTTGGTTAAGTTAAAGCTTGTGAATGAATCCTAGCTAAATAACGTCATTATGGACATGAACTGAAGCCAAGAAATCTGCCATCTACTTCATAGCAAGTCTTAAGTGGAGAAAGGATGTCCTTTGTGTAAAATCACCTTGGAAAGGAGAAAGCAATAAGGAAAAGAGATTGCTCTGTGGCAAACGGGTTTTCATCAGATGGAAGGGGAGTAAGAGGGTATTTGGTTATGGCAAGCTGGCTAGCTGGCTAGTGCAGTGGAATGCTGAGGGTGTGGAGCAGCTCAGGATTCTGGGGTTTTCTGGAGTCCTGGCAACCACATGGAATTTTCTATGAGGAGCATCTGAGGGAAACCCAGGAGCCTGTTTGGTGAGACAACTGGCATGTGTAGGAAATGGCTTTGAATAAGAAGGTGAAACCACTTAATCCACCAGGACAGAGTGGTACAGCACCGTGACATCATGATGGGGCAGGCAGGAATGTCACTTGCTAAGAGACAGACTTAGGGGAAAGTGAATATTCCAAGATTCCAAGATTAAAAAATAATAACTTAAGGACCTTAACTTGGTAAACAGTCTACTATATCAAGTCTTTAAAAGCCAGTCTTATTTGCCTCTGTTAATGTAATAACAAAGAGATAAGATACTTACAAAAATGGTAACTCTATTTTTTTCTTTATTATTCATTATCAGGTTCATTTTGTAAAAATTTCCTGACTGCTTAAATAGAAACATATGCTTTCTGGCTCATGATCAACTGGCTCTTTGGTGGAAAATAACTATGGTAACATGATATGGGGAATTGCAGTCAGTATGGGAGTTTGCATGTTTCCATGAATATTTTAAGCTTCATTTGACATCATGATTGTTTCCGAGTTATGAGCAATAAAGTGACAAAGGGTCCAGGCAAAAGCATTCTTGTGTAGAACAACAACCACATTAGCTCAGGTCTCAGTTGAGGTAAGAGTATTCTAAATCCATTAATGAATAACTGGGATAAATATTGATAGTCTATATACATCCCACTTTGCAAAGAATATTCTTTCTTATCTGTTACCAGTGTCTCATATTTCTACTCAGATTCATGTAACTGTATTTTACTGTCACAATATTAATACTACAACTACCACCACCAGCACTGTCCCACCCTCACTCCTAATAAGAAAAAAATCCAAAGGTATCTTAGTGAGCTCGGGCTATCATACACTTGAACCACAGAAATGTATTTTTTCACAGTTACGAAGGCTGCAGGTTTGAGACCGGGGTGCCAGCATGGTTGGGTTCCAGTGAGGGCTGTCCTCCTGCCTTGCAGACGGCTACCTTCTACTGTGTACTCGTATGACCTCTTCCTTATGAGCAAGCAGGGACAGAGAGAGAGAGAGCAGGCTCTCCAGTGTCTCTTCTTATAAGGGCATCATCAAGTCCCAACCCTCATGACCCCATCTAACCCGAATCACCTCTAAGAAGCCCCATCTCCAAAGATTATCATCTTGGGAGTTAAGGCTTGAATATATGAATTCCATGTGGGACACAGTTCAATCCATAGCAGTAAGTATCCAAAACCCAGAAGTTTCAGATGAAGGTATGTGAACTACTTTTCAAACACACATGCTAGATGCTTTCTGCTGGCTTTCTTTTGTAATCCTCAAACAGAAACTTCTTGATGTATATTGGGCTTAAATTATAGATGAGCAAGTTAAGCCTTAGCGAAGTTAAAATAACTTCTGTGAGGTGAGGCATTTAATGAATAGCAGAACCTGCACTGAAAATCAAATTGTTCTGACTTAAAACTATGTTTTTAGGCATTACAATATAATACTCTGAATGCTAATACAAAGGTGTGAATATATTGAGTGAAATGATTTATCCTGTGCAAAAATTACTTCATGCTATATTGTGGAGAGAGTAATTTCAGGAAGAGAGTAAATTTGATGTATTTTTTTTTCAGCTGTGTAATGGTAAATGTAAGTATAAATAGCTATCTAGCTTAACAATATCCAAACCATTGTGAAATTAGCAAGAACTCATATTTGTATTCAATGAAATATTTAGACAGTTTTGTCTATTGATATTCTATATAGCATAATTCCGATAATTATGGGAATCATTTGAAACCTTAAAAAATATATTGGTGCAAGCAATAATTTTTACAATACATGTAAACATCCATAATGGTTATGGATGTGCTGAACAAGGTCTGTTGCTAAGAGCATTTTATCTGTTTTGCATTAAACTACCCTGTGTTTAGTTAGTGACTCCCCTGTATGCACTGGGCCATGAGCTTTATATACTTAAACTCTTTTTACTGCCCTGATAACGTTTTGATGTAGGCATTATTTTCCCCAAGCTAATTTAAGGGCAAAAAGCTAGTAAACGACATAGCCATCATATAAACCCAAGTCTGTCTGGTTCTAAAGCTTTATTAAATTGCTGCTATACCAAACTGTTTCCTCTTATATATTTGCATTTCCTTAATTTGTTACCTCTTAAAATATATAAATACTTCTTTTAAATTTAAATACCAGAATTCTGCAACACTAAATAAATCCATATAGAATTAATTAAAGTTAAACTATATACTGATATCTTATCCTAATCATTTTTTGAAATATTGTTTCCCTTTGGGGGTATTAGTGATGGGAAAACAAACAAAAAACTACAGCACAATGTGCTAAACACAAGTATGTAGGGAGAATACCAAGAGCTCTGAAGGAGTAATTTAGCTCTTAATTTCCAGGTGCATCGTTAGGAATCATTTGATAGGAAAGGTGCATCTGATGCCAGACAGAGATGAAGAGGCACGTTTGTGTGTGCAGAAATTTAGGGTTTTTTTTTTATATGTTTTCAAGGCTATTAGAGAGGATCTAAGAAAAGCAGCAAGAGCAAAGTCAAAGTATGTCATTGCATTGTTATTCTGCTTTTATAATGAGAGATCTTTATGTGATTGTTCTAAGAGTGTCTTTTAATATAAGAAAGACTGCCTTCTTTTGAATAATAAACAATGCACACTTCAAATGAATTACATTATCTGGCCTATATTTGTAAAAAAAAAAAAATCACACACACACACAGTATGACAACTTTGCAATTTAAATGAAGACATAGAAGGGAAATATAGTGATCTAAGTTTCTGAAGTTTCCTTCTGTGAATTTCCTCATGGCTGTAGAGACATTATCCTCCAGGAAAAAATGCACTAAATTTTCAAATTTAAAAGTTGTGGCCAATAGGCAATTATAGACCTCTGTAATTACTGGAAAGAAAGACTCATTTTATTACCTTGTCTTTAAACAAATCTTTGTCAGGAGTGTGTTATGGTAAGAATCAGGTGACAAACAATCTAACGGTATGACACTAATTAGTCCTATAAAATAGGGGCAAGGTCCAGAAATGATGGTTTGTGTTATTGTAATTAGTAATCCTGCTTTTTGTTTTTAATCAAAGCTTAAGAGTCAGAAAGATATGACATTCAAATCCTGACATTGTCACTAACTTTATCTACAAATGAAGATAATATGTATTTCTTCCATACCTCATTTCAATATGAGAATCAAATGTGTATATAAATTCTGAAATGTATTGCACAAAGAAGTATTTAATAAATACTAGTTACTAAAAAAGTATAAAAGAGTAAACAGATGTACCCATTATAAAAACATAGTTGTTGCAGTTTCCTAAATCAGTGTATGAGTATCTTAAAAAAACTAAAATTCTACAAAAGAAGTTAATTTTTAAATGTGTTATTTTTTCAAAGACAGAAAACTAACCTGCCATTGCACAAGCATGGTAAATGGAGAACTGTCTGTCACTAGGATGGTGAGAATACATATTTAATATGGTACCAACATCCAGATGATTTAGTTATATTAAAAACTATTCAAACCAGCCCATTGAAAAACTCGTAGCAATCTTTTTCACATGTAAATTGATTTCATATGAAATGTTATATTTTCAAAATTTGCTGTGATTTTCCTTAAGAACATGCTTATCACTGAAAAACAAAGTTACTTTCTATAAAGTAAGAACATTTAAGAAAATTTATTCCCAATGGGTTAATTGAATAGATAACCTCCCGATGCTGGTAAACTCATGTGAAAAGATGGATAATGGGATTCCTTTATTTGCTTTCAGATTTTCAGACGATGCTGGTTGGTTTTTAAGAAGGCCTCTAGCAAGGGACCCAGAAGATTAGAAAAATTTCCAGATGAAAAGGCAGCTTATTTCAGAAACTTTCATAAGGTAAGTCACAGTCCTGGAAGTCCCTGGGGACTAACTGGACCCTTGACAACTTGTGGGGACATTTCTTTGATAGTTGAAATCTGCAGAGGTAAAAAATTCATGGCCAGGATAAAATGCTCCTGTTCTGATAAAATGCAAACGTTATTTTTCTCCTTTATTTTAATCATCTGTTATAAATGCCAGTGGTACCTCTGCAAAATGAAAGACTCATTTTTATTGCTACTTTGCAAAATGAGATGACTCATAACTCGACCAGATCATTTTTCAAGGTGCTGAGTAGGCACTTTTCCTCTGTTCAGGTTAATTGTCCATTTGTTACTTTGATTTAAGCTCTAGGCAGTATTTAGGAAATAAAAATTTTGAGGCTGGCTTTAGCAGCGCCAATAATATTGTTAATGTGTATGGCATTTGCTGTTTAGTCAGCTCCTTAACAAGGAAATGATTATCAGAGATGCTGATGTGTAGAGATATAGCATAAATACTGGGAATGAAATATCAATTTCCTTAGAATTAAAAGAATGTAAAACACAATCCCATAATGATGCAAAATATGCTGCCTAAATTCATCTTTGGTGATAACAAAACACAGATATTTTATAATAATACAGAGGATTCATGATCAGAACTCAGAATTATAGAATAGTCTTGCATGTTGGTAGAATGCCTGAATAGGCTCAGTAAAGATTCTAATTTCTCACTGGTCATAAAGAGTAAGTTGTCCTGGATCATGTAGTGAATTTGTGGAGTTTTATTTTATGTGATATACAGGCCTGATTTCTCCTTTTGTTAAAAATAAATTATTTGATAGTAATGTGCTAGCTAATTCTGTTACACAGATAATCAGCAATCATTTATATTATATTTGAACCTGGATCAGAGAGCTTAAAGTTGGGAGCTAAACAGTGTGTTATACGTGCTCATAAAGTAGTGTAAAGGATATTAGAAACTAAGAAGGGGGGTGAGGGATGAAAACTTACCTGTCAGGTATAATATACTCTACTCTGGTGAGGGGGCGCACTAAAAGCCCTAACTTCAGCCTTATACAATTCATCCATGTAACAAGAACATTTGTACCCCTTCATATTTTGAAGTAAAAATTATGGAAAAAAAAATTTGAATTTCTATACTCTCTGTGAGGTAGAGTATACTCTATATATTAATACATACTCTCTATATATTAATACAGATTTACTGGCAGAGAATGCAAGTTCAGTTTCCTGCCCAGTCACTTACTAGCTCATGGGTGTTTGGTTTTCTCATGCATAGATGAATTTTAAAATTGTCATATTACATATTTCTAAAGATTATTTGAGATATAATATCATAAAGCAGCTAGCACAATGCTTCCTGTTCTAACTATATGCAAAATTATTTGAATTCTAAAGTCTTACTGATACTTTTGTGTTGATTATGATTATGATTTTGGCAATAATGTTAAATCTGACTTAATGAGGAATTGCTAGGTTGTAAAATGTTAAGTCCATGACATTTAGTTTGTGAGTAAAATTTTGGCGGCTGCTGTGTATTATATGTTCTGTGGATTCCTGGTCAGAACCCTGCCAGCTGGGCAATGACATATACTAGCTGGAGCTCTCCAGCCAGTGCACCTGGGTTTATTTTTACTTATAAATATAACAGGCACAATCCCCAGAAAGAGGTATTATCTGATGTTTGGACCCAGCCATCACAGGTATTTCAATTCTAAGTTTATGGAGAGTTACAGGCCAAAAAAGTTGACACTTGACTGAAAAATAGCTAATTAAAGAAATGAGAGAAAATTGTGAAGAGTACCATTTAAATGAATAACTGCTAGTAAAATAAATGTTAAAATAAAATAAAGTTTGTAGGCTGGGCGCGGTGGCTCACGCCTGTAATCCTAGCACTCTGGGAGGCCGAGGCGGGTGGATTGATCGAGGTTGGGAGTTCGAAACCATCCTGAGCGAGACCCCGTCTCTACTAAAAATAGAAAGAAATTAATTGACCAACTAAAAATATATATACAAAAAATTAGCCGGGCATGGTGGCGCATGCCTGTAGTCCCAGCTACTTGGGAGGCTGAGGCAGGAGATGCGCTTGAGCCCAGGAGATTGAGGTTGCTGTGAGCTACGCTGACGCCACAGCACTCACTCTAGCCAGGGCACATAAATGTCTCAAAAAATAAAATAAATAAAATAAATAATAGTAGTAATCCAAGACTATAAATATACTCCTAAGAAAATAATATAATAATTCTAAAGAGAGAATGTGTTTATTTACCAAAAAGAAAATTATTTAAAATGTTGACATTTGCAAAGGGGAAGAAGGAGAAGATAGAATGCCAGAGGCTCTGTGTGTCCATCTTTTCCCTGGAGCTGCTCCTCCCTGGGGCAGGGCAGGTGGCCATGGGCAGTGCCGGAATGCCATCGCTGGGATCAGGTGGTGTTGCCTTGTCCAAGGCCTAGACAACTGGCCATCAATGCAAAAAAAAAAAAAAAAAAAAAAGATCACCCATGTTCTTCGTATTTTTATCCTCAAATATCTTTTTGTAAAATCAAGGACTGACTCATCACCTATCATGGCTTGTTGCATGTCTAGCATTGTAGACTCATGAATCTTTTTTTTTTCCTTCAAAACTGAACATTGGCAGAGCTATAAATTTTTCATAGTTGCCTCTGACGGTCAGGTAAACAAAGGATGAATCCTTTCATGAGAAAAGCTGGCATGTTTGAAACCTTTGTTCTCTTGTGGGCAATTAATGGCCAGTCCAAATATTGGATCTCCAGAATTGGGAAAAAAACAATCTGCATTTACAAGATGGCTTTACGAAATTGACCAGTATGGATTTTTCAAACTGTCCTGTTTGTGATGTTTAAATACTTTATACTAGTAATTAATCATTTATTTTGATATGTCCTAAAATCTGCTATCATTCTCAGTAACAATAAATTAAAATAGTCAAATGAATGGAATGGTTCCACCATAAGTGAGGGGTTTCTGAAAAATAAGCTAAGGACACAATTATTTCTTTACCAACTTTTAACTCAGTGTTATGCCCTGTCTGGAACATACATATAAGTTTGTGAGTATTAATGGTCTCATTTAGACATTTGATATGTTTACTGTGAGGGAGATCTTGCTGCATAAATCAATTTTTATATGAAACTGCTATAAAATGGTATATACTCTTTTTAACTTCTTGGTAGAAAGAAATTTGAAATTCAAATCACTAGCTGCTGAAGGAAGTTATTAAAAATGCATTAGAGTTGAAAATGTAGCTGTATATAATTGTCATAACAGATATTCAAAACAAATTTATCCTCAATGAAAACTGAACTAGAGCAATTTACATAGAATCAGCTAATAAATTTTCCTTAATTTTCTAAGAAGATGAAAAAGAAGCAGTTCATAGAAATTTTAATAAAATAAATATGAGTTCCGTCTATAGGGAGGAAAATATAAATAAAACCCTTTAGAAGGCTGAATGAAGACAGAATGATGTGAAGTTTCAGGGATGAAACCACATAATGCCAGAGAAGTTATGCCTGTATTGGGACCAATCTCATTTCTAAATTCCCTATAACCCGACGCTGAAAACACCATTTCATTCTATCTGTTTGGTATTGGCAGTATTTATTTTTATGTAAAGCAAACATCTGAGAGAGTTGGGGAGAAGATAAAGGCATCCTTGTGAAAAATAGCCACCTATGAATATAGCATACCCTTAAAACTAGAAGCAAAATCGTTGGTAAAGGCAGAAATAGCACATGTGCACAATGTTATGTGGAGCACTCTCATTTTGATTCCATGAAGAAATGACTCTGTTCTGGCATGAACACATACTTGATGGGATGTGAAAGGTATTCAAAGGCTTGATGTCTCCTGACATCCATTCTCCAAGGAACACGGTTTATTTGGAGTAAGGCATCTTATGCATTCATTCATTGATTCATTAATATTTTTATCCACCTGCAATCTCTTATCTTGAAGAGGTCTCAGTTTCTTGAAGATAAGCACCTATTCACATACACATTGGTTCCTGGGGCAGTCACACCTTAATCCATAATCGTTTATTGATTGTTTTACTCATATTGTCACATATTTCTCAGGGAAGACTCAAAGAAATGGAATATGAAAAGTTGGTTTTTACACTGGATGAAAAGAAGGGAGAAATACCCAAGACAGGATGCACCCCCTATACAGAGTGTCTTTGATAGGGATGGGCTGGTTGTGAAAGAGCAACTCTGAAGCCAGAGATTAGCAAGAGACGCTAGGTGTTAAGACTTTTGGGTGGAGGAGATGTCCAAACCTGTGGTCTCAAAACAATAGGGGACTTCCCAAGCTAATTTTTATCTTTGTAATATTTCTCTCAAGGTCAATTAAAATTTTAAACAATCTTAGATATCACCAATAAAGTTATTCCATATGGCTTAAGGATGCCAAGGAAAATAGATAACTCAGTCACTGGGATTTCTGTTTAACTCATTTCTCTAGAGCAGATATGATGCAGACTTTTAGAAAAATGTCTATATGATTGATCTGGGCTTGATTTAGAGTATACAGCAGTATGATTTATGTTAGAAAAGTTGCTGTCTTTATGCTACTTTTTAAATCTGCCCATTTTTTTCTTTTGTAAGCCAACCATCCATAACGGTACTGTATCAGAACAAAAACATGGTATAATTTAAAGAGTACATTTTTCTATCTGTAAGATGCAGATAATGTTATAGCACACAAAGTGAGAAGGTAATTGCATATAAAGTAATGGAAACTGTAAAGCATTTATTGTTGTCAAAGGCATTTCTGCCTCAGATTTTGCATCGTTGAAATCAAGGAATAATTGGGTGTGGTGGCTCATATGTGTAATCCTAGCACGTTGGGAGGCCGAGGTGGAGGGATTGCTTAAGGCCAGAGTTTGAGAACAGCCTGAGCAGGAGCGAGACCCCATCTCTACAAAAAAAGTAGAAAAATTAGCCAGGCATGGTGGTGTGTGCCTATAGTCCCACATTCTTGGGAGGCTGCAA